CCGTCGGGGGTGAGTGTGCTCTTGGCACGGACGTCCTAGAGGACAGGCAGGAGGAGTTACAGTGTCTAGCGGCTGCTTCACCTCATCTCGCGTCTGTACTGCTTGCCCCTGAGGGAGACCCGGATGCACTAGACATCCCGACTCCGCGTTCTTACGCGGAGGCTGTAGAGGGTCCCTACTCCTCTCAGTGGCAGGCAGCTATGGATGCAGAGATGGCTTCCTGGAAGTCCACAGGCACCTACGTTGACGCAGTTCCCCCTCGTGGGGCGAACATCGTCAGTGGCATGTGGATCTTCAGGGTGAAGCGGCCGCCGGGCTCTCCGCCTGTCTTCAAGGCGCGTTACGTCGCTCGTGGCTTCAGTCAGCGGCAGGGAGTTGACTACTTTCAGACCTTCTCTCCCACTCCGAAGATGACCACTCTTCGGGTGCTGCTGCACGTTGCCGCTCAGCGCGACTACGAGCTTCACTCTCTCGACTTCAGCACTGCGTTTCTGCAGGGTAGCCTGCACGAGGAGATCTGGCTGCGCCGTCCGCCTGGCTTCAATGGGACTTTCCCTCCTGGCACCCAGTGGAGCCTCCGACGGCCAGTCTACGGTCTCCGCCAGGCACCGCGTGAGTGGCACGACACACTGAGGACTACACTTGCGGCTCTTGGGTTTGCTCCTTCCACTGCTGACCCGTCGCTGTTTCTTCGCACCGACACTTCCTTGCCGCCGTTCTACATCCTCGTGTACGTCGACGACTTGGTCTTTGCCACAGCGGACACTGCTGGACTCGCCTACGTGAAGTCCGAGCTGCTGAAGAGACACACGTGCACAGACCTGGGTGAACTGCGCAGCTACCTTGGCTTGCAGATCACTCGGGACAGAGCACGCCGCACCATTACCCTGACTCAGTCACACATGGTGCAGCAGGTCCTTCAGCGCTTCGGCTTCACGTACTCCTCGCCTCAGGCCACTCCTCTGCCTACTCGCCACTCGCTCTCAGCTCTGCCTTCGGATGAGTCCGTAGAGTCGAGTGGCCCGTATGCAGAGCTTGTTGGCTGCCTCATGTACCTGATGACCTGCACACGACCTGACCTTGCATACCCTCTGAGCATCCTTGCACGCTATGTTGCTCCTGGTAGACACCGACCTGAGCACATGGCTGCAGCGAAGAGGGTATTGCGCTACCTGTGCAGTACGTCGGGCATGGGGCTAGTGCTTGGAGGGCGGAGTCCAGTGGTCCTTACGGGCCACGCGGACGCTTCTTGGGCTGACGACCAGGCTACGCAGCGGTCGTCACAGGGTTACACATTCAGCCTTGGTTCCGGCTCTGTCTCGTGGCGGTCTACTCGCTCGTCTTCAGTTCTCGGCTCCAGTTGTGAGGCTGAGATCTACGCCGGGGCCATGGCTGCACAGGAGCTTCGCTGGCTCACCTACCTGCTGACTGACCTTGGAGAGCCGCCTCGTTCTCCTCCAGTGCTGTACGTAGACAACAAGGCCATGCTGGCCTTGTGTCGAGAGCAGCGTCTGGAGCACAGAACGAAGCACATTGCTCTCCGCTACTTCCTTGCTCGTGAGCTGCAGCAGCGTGGTCAGCTGCGACTTGCGTACGTGGCCTCTGAGGCCAACACTGCTGATGTGTTCACCAAGGCACTCGCGCCTTGTGACCATCAGCGCTTCTGTACCCAGCTGGGTCTTGTGCCTGTCTTGCCTCACTTGCTCTCTTCCTGACTTCACTTGTACTGTGACATATATATATACCTGCTCTTGCTTGTCTAGTATTATATATATGTCTGTACTCCTGCATGTGAACTGGCCTCTGGCCCTGCTCTTGTGCTCGGACTATGTGGTGACTTTGTGATCCACCCTGAGCTTGCTTTGCTTTGCTTGACTGGTCTTGTGACCCCTTGTTCTCCCCCACTTTGCCTATGGGGGTGTGTCAGAACATTATAGCTGATACGTGTTTGTAGGCTATAGTGGGGTAGCACATATGGGGTACAGATTCCTAGGGTTTGCCATTTTGTACCAATTTCTGACTTAGTCATTTCATTCCTGTTTACCTAACTTCACACACTCACCCCCGACGGACGGAGGACAGACAGACCCAGACTCAACAACAAGACTAGCAGCGTAGTCTAGACGACAGCGAGCAGCAAAGTCGACAAGCTCAGCAACCAAGGCAGACGCAGCTGTGGACTCAAAGGAAGGGTCAGTGACAACAGTAACTAGGAGACGTGTGACAGTAGGACTTGCAGCACAAAGAGAGTCAGACTCCAGGTCAGCAAGGACAGGAAGAGAGGACTCTGGAGGAGACGGCAACGGGACACGCAAAGGAGTAGTGGAAGGACGCAGTGCCATCTGGTGTATTCCTGGGACCGCAGGAGGACGCGGACGCGGAGCACGACTACTAGTGCGAGCAGCATGAACAGATTATGCAGGACGAGACGCAGGGTCACGACGCTTAGTAAGACCTCCAGTAGGACCAGTGTAGGGAGAAGGAGCAGGTAGGGGGGAGGCGGGCTGTAACTGTGACCGTGACTGGACAGGCTGTGGACACTCTAAGGGAGGAGCAGGACCAGTAGAGGGCGGGAGACCAAGAACCTGCTCAAGGAGCGGAACGAAGTACGGCCGCGGCCGCGCAGCGCCTCCGGAACCAGCAGGGATAGCACCTGTACCCCCAGTGGCAGTACCAGCGCCAGCAGCACCACCCGCTCAAGCAGCACCCCCATTAGCTCCAGCAGCGCCAACTCCAGCACCCCCAGAAGTACCAGCTCCAGCAGCACCTCCTGCGCCAAGACCTCCAGCAGCGCCAGCTCCAGCAGGACCGTCAGCTCCAGCAATCTCAGCAGCACCCCCACGCCTAGCACCTCCAGTACCGCCAGTACGAGCACCTCCAAGACCAGTGGCTCCAGTAACTCTAGTGCCGACCCCAGGGTCAGCAGTAACAGCAACACCTCCAGCTCCAGCAGCACGGCTTCAGCGCCGGGCAATCCACTCGCGCAGCTCGTGTGGAGAGGGTAGCTCCCGCCTCGACGAGGCACCCAAAGGTGCCCCAAACCCAGCACCGCCAGAGGCCACACGAGCAGACCCAGCACCCCCAGGCTCCGCACCCTCAGGCTCAGCACCCCCTCCGTACCCCCTAGCTCCGCACCGCCAGGCTCTGCACCCCAAGGCTCCGTACCCCCAGGCTCCGCACCCCCAGGCACAGCACCCCCAGACTCAGCACCCCCAGACTCAGCACCCCCAGGCTCAGCACCCCTAGCAGTACCAGAGTCAACAGCTACCTCGACAGGCTCGACTGCGTCTACCTGAGACACACCTGACGGGGCAGGACCCTGAGGGGGGAGGGGGTCTACCGGGGGGGGACGTGGAGCAAGGAAGAGCGGCGGCGGGGGGAGGGGTGCAGTGCGGTAGGGGAAGAGACGGTAGTAAGGAACCGACTCGTCAAACGTGACGTCCTGGGAGGACAGAACACGGCGCGAGGTGGGGTGGTAAAACTGCCAACCAGGCGCGTCAGGGGGAGAGGCCAAGGAAGACGCAGGGAACAGCACGGGGGGACAGCTTGTCCGCAGACAAGTCGCGGCCAAACGCCCGAGATCCCCAGACACGAAACGGAGATGCAGCGCCAACCTTCCCCGTCCATTGCAAGGTGGGGGTGGTCTCTGGCAAAGAGACACGGGGCTGAAGGTTGATCTGATGCGCTGCGTACTGAACCGCAAACGGCCACAGAAAATGGGGGGCAGCCGCATGGATCATGGACGTACGAGCGATGTCCATGACCATGCCAATGCGGCGCTCAACAATCCCATTTTGCTGTGGAGAGGCCGGAAGCGTGAAGGTCTGGCGGATGCCCTGTGCACGATAGAAGGCTCCCTGAAGGGCAGAGGAAAACTCCTCTCCTCTGTCAGAGTGTAGACGCAGAACAGGAAAGTCCGAGCCAAAACTCTCTCTGAGCTGGAGACGAGCTGTGCGGATCCAGTCGATCAATACCTCAGTGACGTCACCCTTGCTGCGCAAGGGGAACACCGTCGTGTTACGCGAGTAGTCGTCAACCACCAACAGGAAGTAACGCTCGTGACCCTAGCCACGGACGTGGGCGGGGCCCCACACGTCCATGTGAAGAGTCTGCAGCGGAGCCTCTATCGGAGGAAACTGGGAGGAGTGAGGGGCGGCGCGCTGCCGCCCCTCAACGCATGAAACGCAGGTAGGGTCAGGCCCCGGAGGGAGGTAAGGGAGGGACCGGGGTAGTCCAGAGACAAGGACACGGGAGGCCATGCCTCAGAGACGAGGCAGGGAGGTGTGACCAAGGCGGTGGTGCCAGAGGAGTGTCTGGTGGGACAGGAGACGACACGAGCAGGGAGCAGACTGAGGACCAGACCTGGACGCTGCAGCAAACACCTGACTCGACGCAGCTTCCTGACTAGACTCAGCAACCGGAGGAGACTCAGTAGTTAGTGTGTACATGCTCGACCCCGGCCGACGGGTAAACGTGGCCAAGTGTCGGCCCGTCTGAGCACACGTACAGTGGGTCACCCGCTGACTTGCAGGAGTGAACTGGTCAACCCCCCCATCCTGTAGATCAGCACCACTTACCAAGTTCATAGAGAACGAGGGGAGGTAGAGACCTGACAGGGTGCCAGAGGGGGCTGCCGGACACGGTAAGAGAGTGGAGAAGTGGGCAAGGACAGGACCCCCAGAGGCGTCCGCGAGGGAGACCGCAACCAGCCGACTAAGCGGCGTAAGCGTGGTGCGGTCTCGAAAGGAGCGGGAAGCACCCGAGTCAAGGGTGAAGGTGTGTAAGGCCTGAGCCGACGTGGTACCTAAGAGAGCAGACTCACCAGCACTTGGGGCAGCAGACGCACTAGCACCTAGAGCTGCAGCCTCAATGCCCGGGTCAGGCGGAACACACAGGTTATAGTCACCCTCATCACTAGTAGACACAACATACATGGCAGCAAGGATAGCATCATAATCCAGATCAAAGATAGTCATGGAACTGGAGACCCCAAGCGTCCGTCAGGCGGCCGAAGCAGCGCTGGGTGGTGTGCGGGCCACCGCACGGCTCACCAATGCGGTCGCCGGTACACAGGACGTAGGCACAAGGACCAGCACCCCCACCCTGCTGACGCGCAGAGTACCACTCACGAAGCTGCTGGGGGGGCGGGGTTTCACGAGTGCGGTGCTGCTGCTGGCGCTGACCACCACCGAAGCCGCCACGCTGCGCAGAGCCACCTTGACTAGCTCCACCTCCTTCGCCGCCACCTCCGCCACCGCCGCCACTGCCTCCTCCTTCGCTCCCACCGCCACCGCCGCCACTGCCTCCGCCTCCACCGCTGCCACCGAAGCCCCCACCCCCGCCACCACTCCCACCACAACCCCCACTCCCTCCGCCTCCTCCACCGCCACCTCCACCGCCCCCGTCAGCCTCTCCAGCGCCCTTGCCCCCCTTGCCCTTGCTGGTGCGGCGTCGCCCACTAGGGGCAGACACAGCGCCGACCGACTCGGTGCCAAGGAGGTCGACGGCAACAGCAGAGGCAACAGAGGGCAAAAGGGGGGAGGGGGAGCACCCCTCAAAGACGGGGGCACGAGGGTCACCACGAGAGGCTCCTACAGCGACTGTACTCTTCTCAGCTGTTAGGAGGCGCTCCTCAAGGAGGTCAACGGTGAGTGTGGTGGGGCAAACAGAGAGGAAGTGGTCCCTGACCGAGCGAAGGGAGTCAGGGAGGCAGGTGACTAAGTAGTAGAGGGTGATGTACATGGGGGGGGGGGGGGTTCTTGGAGGTCAGGAAACAGGTATGGCAGTATGAGGCGGCTAAAAGCAGCAGTGGCAGGGGAAGAGTAGCGTGCAACTACAGCATCGTACTAGGTCTTAGCAGTCTTGTACTGACTAAAGTGCGCGCGCTCAGTGGACGGCAAGTGACTACGCACAGCAAGACGAGCAGCAGCATCGCGTGTGGCCCACTGTGAGCAAACAGTGCTGTCAGCATCGGCAGCAGGGGCAGTAGAAGCGCCAGACGTGAGATCGAACTGGGAGAGACCGTCCTTCCTATCGCATGTCAGAACATATAGCTTACCTGTTTGTGTAGGCTACAGTGGGGTATCCCATAAGGGGTACAACACAATTAGGTTTCCCATTTGTACCAATTTCTGACTTAGTCATTTCATTCCTGTTTACCTATCTTCACATGGTATAGAGCGGGTCCCTCTTAAGGACCGATTTTTTTTGGGCCCACCCACGATATTCTCTCTGCCCGGAGCGCCCTACTCTCCCCGAGGCGCGCTCCCCCCCTCCCCCTTAGTGCATTTCCCGCTGCCTTTGTGGGCCCCCCGCGAGTAGCGCGCGAAATTTTTTTTTGCGCGCGCGGCTCGGGCCCACGTCGCGCGGGCTTTACGGCCGCGCCGCGCCGCCCTCTCGGCCCGGCTGTGCCCCGCCGCCCTCGAATCGGCCACGCGGCCGCTTCGTCGCGGCCGCGGGCCCCGTTTTTGACGGCCCCGCCGTCCCTTTTTTGACGGCCCGCCGCTGCATTCTGCCGGCCCCGCCGTTTCCTGTCACGGCCCCGCCGTCCCCTCTCCCGGCCTCGCCGCTGCACCTTCCCGGCCCGCCGCTGAGCCCTGACGGCCCGCCGCTGCACCTTTTGACGGCCCGCCGCTGCACCTTTTGACGGCCCGCCGCTGCACCCTGACGGCCCGCCGCTGTACCTGCTGACGGCCCGCCGCTGCACCCTGACGGCCCCGCTGCTGTACCTGCTGACGGCCCGCCGCTGCACCCTAACGGCCCCGCCACTGCACACCCGGCCCCGCCGTCCCCTGTCCCGGCCCGCCACTGCACCTGTCCCGGCCCACCGCTGCACCTGTCCCGGCCCGCCGCTGCACCTTTCCCGGCCCGCCACTGCACCTGTCCCGGCCCCGCCGGCCTCTGTCCAGGCCCCGCCGCTGCACTGCAGCCGGCCCGCCCAGCAGCAGCCGAGCCGCCCAACAGCAGCCGAGCCGCCCAGCAGCAGCCGGACCGCCCAGCAGCAGCCGAGCCGCCCAGCAGCAGCCGGACCGCCCAGCCGCAGCCGAGCCGCCCAGCAGCAGCCGAGCCGCCCAGCAGCAGCCGGACCGCCCAGCAGCGGCCGAGCCGCCCAGCAGCACCCGAGCCGCCCCACAGCTGCCGAGCTGCCCGGGAGTCGATCCGCCTTTCTACTGAGCTGCACGACTTGCCCTGCCTGGTGAGCACAGTCCCTCTGTCACTGCGCCCTCTTTCCCTACTGCTTGCACTGCTTCGCTGTCGTCATCATGGCCACCCCTAGTGTCCTAGCCTTTGACGCCGAGGGTCGAGCCATTGATTTTGAGGTCTGGCTAGACGACCTGCAGCTTTTCTTACAGTGCGACAGAGCTGACAGCCTTTCTCTCTTTGACCTCACCTCTGGCGCCTCTCCTGCTCCTGCTGCCGATGCTGATCCCACTGTCCGCTCTCAGTGGGCCACCCGCGATGCTGCTGCACGTCTTGCTGTGCGTCGCCACCTCCCTACCTCTGAGCGTGCGCACTTTAGTCAGTACAAGAGTGCTCAGACCTTGTACGACGCTGTAGTTGCGCGCTACTCCTCCCCTGCCACTGCTGCACTGAGCCGTCTCATGCTTCCCTACCTCTTTCCTGACCTCTCTGTCTTTCCCACTGTCACTGACCTCATTACGCACCTCCGCACTAGTGACACTCGCTACCGCGCCGCCCTTCCTGCTGAGTTCTGCGCTAAGAACCCCCCCCCCATGTACATCACTCTCTACTACGTAGTCGCGCGCCTCCCTGACTCCCTCCGCGTAGTCAGGGACCACTTTCTCGCAGTCTGTCCCACCACTCTCACCGTCGACCTCCTCGAGAAGGCCCTCCTCGCAGCGGAGAAGAGCATAGTCGCTGTAGGTGCCTCTCGTGGTGACCCTCGCACCCCCATCTTTGAGGGGTGCTCTCCTTCCCCCTTGCTGCCCTCTGTTGCCTCTGCTGCTGCGGCCGACCTGCTTGGTCTTGAGTCGGTCGGCGCGGCGTCTGCCCCTAGTGGGAGACGTCGCTCTAGCAAGGGCAAGGGGGGCAAGGGCGCGGGCGGAGCTGGAGGGGGCGGTGGCGGTGGCGGCGGAGGCGGCGGAGGGAGTGGGGGTGGCGGCGGGAGTAGTGGTGGTGGTGGTGGTGGTGGTGGCAGCAGCGGCGGAGACGGTAGTGGTAGTGCCAGCGGTGGTGGTGGAGGCAGCAGCGGGAGCGGAGGCGGTGGAGGTGGAGGCAGTGGAGGCGGCGGCGGAGGAGGCGGTGGTGGTGGAGGAGGTGGAGCTGGTCGTGGTGGTACCCAGCAGCGGAGCGGCGGTGGTGGTGCCTAGCGCTCGCAGCGGCAGCAGCAGCAGCGTTCGCGGGACATCCCTCCGCCTCAGCAGCTTCGTGAGTGGTACGCTGCGCGTCAGAGGGGTGGGGGTACTGGTCCCTGCGCCTACGTTCTTCGTTCCAGCGACCGCGCGGGTGAGCAGTGTGGGGGTGCCCACTCCACCCAGCGCTGCTTTGGCCGCCTCACGGACGCTTGGCGTCAGCAGTTCCCCGGGGCTAGTGAGATCCCTCACTGGGATGAGCTCCTTAGGGCTGGTGTAGCGATCTTTGATCTTGATTTTGATGCTATCCTTTCTGCTATGTATGCTGTGACTTATAGTGAGGAGAATGAGGGTTACCGGTGTTTCCAGCCCGACCCGGGCATTGGTACTGCTGCGCTAGGTACTTGTGAGGCTGCTGCTCTAGGTGCCAGTGCGTCTGCGCTCTCAGGTACTAGTGAGACTGCGCTCTCAGGTGCTGGTGAGACTGCGCTCTCAGGTACTGCGTCGCCCTCGTCCTCCCTCACTTTCACACTTGACTCTGGGGCTTCTCGCTCCTTCTTTCGAGACCGCACTACCCTTACGCCTCTTGGCCGGCCGGTTGCGGTCTCCCTTGCTGACCCCTCTGGGGGTCCTGTCCTGTCTCACTTCTCCACTGTCCTCCCGTGTCCGGCTGCCCCTTCGCGCACCCTGTCTGGTCTGTACCTTCCCTCGTTCTCTACGAACTTGGTGAGTGGTGCGGACCTACAGGATGCGGGGGTTCACCAGTTCACTCCTGCGAGGCGACGGGTGACCCACTGCACGGACGCAGACACAGGCCGACACCTGGCCACCTTTTCGCGTCGGCCGGGGTCGAGTCTCTACACCCTGACCACTTCGTCTCCTCCTGTCCCTGCGTCTGGTCGGGTAGCTGCGTCAGGTCAGGTGTTTGCTGCTGCTTCCCGGTCAGGTCCTGAGTCTGCCCCCTGTTCTTGTCGCCTCCTGTCTCACGAGACTCTCCTGTGGCACCACCGTCTTGGCCACCCCTCCTTGCCCCGTCTTCGGAGCATGGCTTCCCGTGTCCTTGTCTCTGGTCTTCCCCAGTCTCTCCCTCCTCTCCCCTCCGGGCCAGGACCTTCCTGTGTCCCCTGTGTCGAGGGTCGCCTCCGGGCTACTCCTCACTCCTCCCACTTCCCCCCGACAGAGGCTCCCCTGCAGACGCTTCACATGGATGTGTGGGGCCCAGCCCCCGTCCGTGGGCAGGGTTACGAGCGCTACTTCCTGTTGGTGGTTGACGACTACTCGCGTTACACCACAGTCCTCCCCTTGCGCAGCAAGGGTGCGGTCACTGAGGTGCTGATCGACTGGATCCGCGAGGCTCGTCTCCAGCTCAGGAAGAGCTTCGGCTCGGACTTTCCTGTTCTGCGTCTGCACTCTGACAGAGGCGGAGAGTTCTCTTCTCGCCTTCTGCGGGACTACTGTCGTGCACGGGGGATCCGCCAGACCTTCACGCTTCCGGACTCACCACAGCAAAATGGGATTGCTGAGCGCCGCATTGGCATGGTCATGGATGTCGCTCGTACGTCCATGATGCATGCGGCTGCCCCCCATTTTCTGTGGCCGTTTGCTGTGAGGTACGCGGCGCATCAGCTCAACCTTCACCCCCGGGTCTCTCGGCCTGCGATGTCCCCAGTCTTGCTGTGGACAGGGAAGGTTGGCGATGCGTCTGTGTTCCGTGTCTGGGGATCTCGGGCGTTTGTCCGCGACTTGTCTGCAGACAAGCTGTCCCCCCGTGCTGCTCCCTGTGTCTTCCTTGGCTTCCCCACTGACGCCCCAGGGTGGCAGTTTTACCACCCCTCCTCTCGTCGTGTTCTGTCCTCCCAGGACGTCACGTTCGACGAGTCAGTCCCCTTCTACCGTCTCTTCCCCTACCGCACTCCTTCCCTCCCCCCTCCCCCGGACATCCTTGTGCCGGTTCCCCCCCCGGTCGACCCCCTCCCCCCTCAGGTTCCTGCCCCCTCAGGTGTGTCCCAGGTAGACGCCGTTGACCCAGTCGAGGTTACTGGTGACTCTGGTGCTGCTGCGGGTGCTGAGCCTGGGGGTGCTGACTCTAGGGGTGCTGACCCTGAGGGTGCGGGGTCTGGGGGTGCTACTGCTGGGGGTGCTGGGCCTGGGGGTGCTACTGCGGTGGGTGCGGAGCCTGGGGGTACTGGGCCGGGGAGTGCTGTGCCTGGAGGTGCTGAGTCTGGGGGTGCTGAGCTGGGAGCTGCTGGGCCTGAGGGTACTGAGCTGGGAGCTGCTGAGCCTGGGGGTGCTGCGCCTAGAGTTGCTGAGCCTGGGGTTTCTCCTGCTGCTGCGTCTCGCCGGGAGCCCCTCTCTCCACCGGAGCTGCGCGAGTGGTTCGCTCGCCGCTGGAGGCGTGCTGCTGAGTCTGGAGGTGCTGCTGGAGCTGGAGCTGGAGCTTCTTCGACCGTCGAGGGTGCGGGTGCTGCCGGTCCCGGAGCTGCTGGACCTACTGGTCCTCCTGGAGCTGGAGCTGCTGAGGGCGTTGGTGCTGAGCCTGCTGCTGTTGGACCTGCCGCTGGAGGTGTGGGTGGCGCTGGTGCTGTCGCTGAGGGTGCTGGTACTGTCCCTGCTGAGTCTGGAGCTGCCGCGCGGCCTCGGCCGTACTTCGTTCCGCTCCTGCAACAGGTTCTTGGTCTTTCTCCTCCTGTAGAGGGTCCACCGCCTGTCCAGTCGCAGTCCCTACTGGAGCCTTCCTCTCCGCTGCCTGCTCCCTCTCCTTACACTGGTCCTACTGGAGGTCTTGCTGAGCGTCGTGAGCCTGCGTCTCGTCCCGCGTCGCCTGTTCGTGCTGCTCGCGCTAGTGGTCGCAGTTCGCGTCAGCGTCCTCCTCCTGTCCCTGGCACGCACCGGATGTCTCTGCGTCCGTCCACTGCTCCTCTGCGTGCCCCTTTGCCTTCTCCTCTTGAGTCCTCTCTTCCTGCGCTTGCCGACCCTGAGTCGGACTCTCTTCGCGCTGCGAGTCCTACTGTCACGCGTCTGCTTGCTACTGTCGTCACTGACCCCTCGTTTGAGTCCACTGCTGCGTCTGCTCTGGTCGCTGAGCTCGTTGACTTTGCTGCTCGCTGTCGTCTCGACTACGCTGCTAGTCTTGTTGCTGAGTCTGTGTCTGGCTGTCCTCCGTCCGTCGGGGGTGAGTGTGCTCTTGGCACGGACGTCCTAGAGGACAGGCAGGAGGAGTTACAGTGTCTAGCGGCTGCTTCACCTCATCTCGCGTCTGTAATGCTTGCCCCTGAGGGAGACCCGGATGCACTAGACATCCCGACTCCGCGTTCTTACGCGGAGGCCGTAGAGGGTCCCTACTCCTCTCAGTGGCAGGCAGCTATGGATGCAGAGATGGCTTCTTGGAAGTCCACAGGCACCTACGTTGACGCAGTTCCCCCTCCTGGGGCGAACATCGTCAGTGGCATGTGGATCTTCAGGGTGAAGCGACCGCCGGGCTCTCCACCTGTCTTCAAGGCACGGTACGTTGCTCGTGGCTTCAGTCAGCGGCAGGGAGTTGACTACTTTCAGACCTTCTCTCCCACCCCGAAGATGACCACTCTTCGGGTGCTACTGCACATAGCCGCTCAGCGCGACTACGAGCTTCACTCTCTCGACTTCAGCACTGCGTTCCTGCAGGGTAGCCTGCACGAGGAGATCTGGCTGCGCCGTCCGCCTGGCTTCACTGGGACTTTCCCTCCTGGCACCCAGTGGAGCCTCCGACGGCCAGTCTACGGTCTCCGCCAGGCACCGCGTGAGTGGCACGACACACTGAGGACTACGCTTGCGGCTCTTGGGTTTGCTCCTTCTACTGCTGACCCGTCGCTGTTTCTTCGCACCGACGCTTCCCTGCCGCCGTTCTACATCCTCCTGTACGTCGACGACTTGGTCTTTGCCACAGCGGACACTGCTGGACTCGCCTACGTGAAGTCCGAGCTGCTGAAGAGACACACGTGCACAGACCTGGGTGAACTGCGCAGCTACCTTGGCTTGCAGATCACTCGGGACAGAGCACGCCGCACCATCACCTTGACTCAGTCACACATGGTGCAGCAGGTCCTTCAGCGCTTCGGCTTCACGTACTCCTCGCCTCAGGCCACTCCTCTGCCTACTCGCCACTCACTCTCAGCTCTGCCTTCGGATGAGTCCGTAGAGTCGAGTGGTCCGTATGCAGAGCTTGTTGGCTGCCTCATGTACCTGATGACCTGCACACGACCCGACCTCGCATACCCTCTGAGCATCCTTGCACGCTATGTTGCTCCTGGGAGACACCGACCAGAGCACATGGCTGCAGCGAAGAGGGTATTGCGCTACCTGTGCAGTACGTCAGGCATGGGGCTAGTGCTTGGAGGGCGCAGTCCAGTGGTCCTTACAGGCCACGCGGACGCTTCTTGGGCTGACGACCAGGCTACGCAGCGGTCGTCACAGGGTTACACCTTCAGCCTTGGTTCCGGCTCTGTCTCGTGGCGGTCTACTCGCTCGTCTTCGGTTCTCGGCTCCAGTTGTGAGGCTGAGATCTACGCCGGGGCCATGGCTGCACAGGAGCTTCGCTGGCTCACCTACCTGCTGACTGACCTTGGAGAGCCGCCTCGTTCTCCTCCAGTGCTGTACGTAGACAACAAGGCCATGCTGGCCTTGTGTCGAGAGCAGCGTCTGGAGCACAGAACGAAGCACATTGCTCTCCGCTACTTCCTTGCTCGTGAGCTGCAGCAGCGTGGTCAGTTGCGACTTGCGTACGTGGCCTCTGAGGCCAACACTGCTGATGTGTTCACTAAGGCACTCGCGCCTTGTGACCATCAGCGCTGTTGTACCCAGCTGGGTCTTGTGCCTGTCTTGCCTCACTTGCTCTCTTCTTGACTTTACTTGTACTGTGACATATATATACCTGTTCTTGCTTGTCTTGCTTTATATATATGTCTGTACTCTTGCATGTGAACTGGCCTTTGGCCTTGCTCTTGTGCTCGGACTGTGTGGTGACTTTGTGATCCACCCCGAGCTTGCTTTGCTTTGCTTGACTGGTCTTGTGACCTCTTGTTCTCCCCCACTTTGCCTATGGGGGTGTGTCAGAACATATAGCTTACCTGTTTGTGTAGGCTACAATGGGGTATCCCATAAGGGGTACAACACAATTAGGTTTCCCATTTGTACCAATTTCTGACTTAGTCATTTCATTCCTGTTTACCTATCTTCACATCGCACTGTAGTAAAAGCTGTAGATCATCGACACAGACCTTAAAGTCAACAGCCCGACCCTCAGCATCAAAGACTAGAACACTAGGGGTAGCCATGACAGCAGTGGCAGCAGGCTAGGGGCAGCAGTAGCAGGCGTGGCTCGGCAATGCTCTCACCAGGGCTGGTAGGTAGGGGCCGGCAAGGGGTGGGGCAGGGCCGAGGCGTGTCGGCAGGGACAAAGCCGCGACCGCGGCGGCAGCTCCTGCTGTCAGTGGCGGCGGCAGTCGCTGATGTCGGCGGCGAAGGTTGCTGCTGGTGGTGGCCGCCGCTGTGGTCGGCTGCTGCTGGCGGCGGCGGCGGCTGCTGCTGGCGGCGGAAGAGCTGAGGAGGGGCCGGGAAGGGTGGCGATGGGGCCATGAAGGGCGGCGACGGGGCCGAGAAGAGGCTGCGAGGGGCCGTGAAGGGCGGCGACGGGGCCGCTAGGGGCGGCGACTGGGCTGCGAAGGGCGGCGACGGGGCCAATAGGGGCGGTGACGGGGCCGCGAAGGGCGGCGACAGGGCCGCTAGGGGCGGCGAAGGGGCCGGGAAGGGCGGTGACGGGGCCGCTAGAGGCGGTGGCGGGGCCGCGAAGAGCGGCGACGGGGCCGATAGGGGCGGCGACGGGGCCGCGAAGGGTGGTGACGGGGCCGCTAGGGGCGGCGACGGGGCCGCGAAGGGGCCGAGAGGGGCCTCGAAGGGCGGCGACGAGGCCGCGAAGGACGGCGACGGGGCCGTAACGGGCGGCGACGGGGTCGCGAAGGGCGGCGACGGGGCCGCTAGGGGCGGCGACGGGGCCGCGAAGGGTGGCGACGGGGCCGCTAGGGGTGGCGATGGGGCCGCTAAGGGCGGCGACGGGGCCGCTAGGGGTGGCGCGAGGGGCCGTGAGAGGGGCCTCTAGAAGGGCACGACGGGCCGCTAAGGGCAGGGGACGCGACGAGAGGGCGGCCCACGGGGCGCGCCTCGGGCAGGGGCGACTCGCGCTCCGGTCAGAAAAAAAAAAAAAATATTTTCGATTTTCAGTGGTGGGCCCTAGGAAGCGTTCCCACTAGGGAACCTGCTCTATACCATGTGAAGAAATGAGGAATGAATGAACTAGCAAGCAGGTGGGTACAAGTAGGAAAACCTAAAAGTGTTGTACCCCATATTTTCTACCCCACTACAGCCTACACAGACTATAGCATATGAGTTTGACACGTTGTCACAGTGGCAAACAACCAGCAACTCCAAGCACGAGCATGCGACATCGTCGTCCTCAAGGCACATGACATCGACATCCACATCACGCTCAACGACGTTCTCATCGTACAGGACCTACAGTACAACCTTCTCTCCTACGACCAACTCGTGCAAAGCAGAGTTCCCATGACATCTGACTTAGAGACACGAGAAATCCTCATGTACTCGAAAGACTACAGCAACCAAACAGCACACCGCGATACATCGGTACGGAGAGCTAGCTGCAACCCTCACCATCTTTCAGCCGCGCAAAAATCAAACTGACCCCACTGTCCATGATTGCCTCGATCTCCTCACACGCTGCACAGGACCAGGCGCACATGACGGAGACCACAACCCCCTTCCAATAACCTAGGAGACCTATCACGTCAACCAGCCATGCTCCCATTGCACCATGACCATCGAGGAGTTTCAGCGACATGAAGAAGATCGGCGTCGCAAATCGGACGAGGAAACAAAAGCGGCAGCAGCTGCGACCGCTGGAGGATGGGGAAGCGGAACTAGCACAACACTATGGGGAAGAGGAACTGGCGCAACTGGATGGGGGGAAACCGCACCATCAACAATGGGGGAAGAAGAGCCTATCGAAGACGTCATTGCTCGCGCTGAACAAGAAGCAGCAGACGAAGCCAGAGGACCCTATGAGTCTCCACGTCCCCTCAGCATCCCTCCCGCAGGCATCTTACCAGCTAATTCCTGGGGGTCCTTCCCAGACTCACCAGACTCACGACCTCCCATTGACCGCGACATCATACTACCTTACCGCACCTATCCCTACAGCCCACTACACACTGAATCCACGCCTCTCGACCCGTCCGACTCACCTGCTCCTAGTCCCCCAGCAACACATGCCTTACCGCCCCATCACATGCCACGCCCAGACCTCCCAGAAGAAACAGCAGACACAGATGATCTCACAACACCACTCGCAACCATCACCACAGTCACTCCAAACCCCATAGTTCGTGAACTAATTCTTGCTCTTGGCCTCTACATTTCCCCACAGCCCATCCCACAGCCAACTGAACCCGCCATAGACAAACTCATCGCCTTTTACACGCGCTCACCTGCTCTGCGCTATCAACCTGACCTTTGGCACAAATGCCTCGGTGACCCCTCTTAGGAATTTCTCAACAACTGCATTCGCACGCAAGTTTTTCTTCCGGGCACCCTTCTCCACTCAGACGGCACTCCCATCCCAGTCAACACCGCTCGCCGCACTGACTGCAATATCTGCCCACAAGCCGCCCTCACACACCAGCCCTTCAAGCTTCTAGAGCCTGGAACCAATCGCTACGAAAAACTTGAGAAAGTTTATAGCGACTTCCTTGTGCTCACTCAGACTGGCCTCAACGGCAAAGAATACACTCTCACCTTCGTCGACGCTCACTCCCGCTTCATCTGGGTTGCCAACGTCTCTCACAGGAGCAAGGCTTATGAAATCTTCAAGGTGTGGCATGCTAATGCGGAGACTTAGTCAGGCTGCACCCTCAAGCTCTAGCAAACTGATTGTGCAACAGAGTTCAAGAGCGACAAGATGCAAGCGCTCATGAAGGAGACGGGCATCATTCATAAGCTCTCCCTTCCCTACGCACACCCCCAGCAAGGAGTCGCGGAACGCACCAACCGCACTCTCATGACCAAGGTTCATGCCCTCATGCAGCAGAGTGATGTCGACGCGAAGTACTGGCCCTACGCCATGCATCGCGCTGTCCGTCTGCACAACCTGTTCAGCACCACTGCCAACACCAACAACCTCTCGCCACATCTCAAATTCACCGGCAAGCAAGGCAACATCTCCATGCTCCGCGTCTGGGGCTGCATGGTGCAGTATCTACCTGCAGCAGCGACCGCGGGGAAGTTCGAACGTCGCGCACGCTGGGGAGTGCACCTCGGCATCAGCTTCGAGCACCACGCATGGACCATCCTCGATCACGACACCTCGCAGATCGTCGCGACGCGCGACAACATCTTCTATGAAGATCTCTCCATCTGCACATTCCAGTGCGACCACCAAGCTGATCACACCAGAGGCGAGAATAACATCGCAGAGTACGAGTGCCCAAAGCGTAGCTTCGCCACGCTTGAAGATGAAGCCGCCGCAGCACTTGCGGAACAGGATCCCACAGATCCCCACCATGGCCCACGCCCCTGGAGCGACGACGACGAGGACGAGGACAGCGCTCCCCTCGACTCCTCTCGCGACTCCCTTCTCAGCCCCACACCCTCCAGCGGCCACAACTCTGACGACGACGCGGTGGAAGTCACCAGCGACCAACGACACAGCCCTGGCCTCTCTGGCCTGCATGCCCTTGTGTCAAACACTATATGTGTTATTATTGTGTAGGCTATAGTGGGTTAGCCTTTAGGGGGTACACAAAGTTAGGGTTTCCTACTTGTACTCCAACTTTTCCATAGTGCAATCACTTCTTCATTCTAACATGGTATTAAGAGCGTAGGTTTCGACCTAGGATCGCTCCTTAGGGCCCACCATTCCGCTCTACCTACTAGCGCCCTCGTGCGCCCTACTGTCGGAGCGCCCTCGAGCGCCTCCCCCTCTAGCGCCCTCGTGCGCCTCTCTTTCACGGCCCCCTAAGGCCCCGTCGACCCCGCGCGCGACTCACTTAGAGGCCCCGTCGGCCCCCTATACCCGCGCGCGCCCACTCCTTAGCGGCCCCGTCGGCCCCGTCGACCCCACGCGCCGCCCCTTAGCGGCCCCGCTGGCCCCGTCGACCCCGCGCGCGACCCCCTTAGAGGCCCCGTCGGCCCCGTATGCCCCGCGCGCGCCCACTCCTTAGCGGCCCCGTCGGCCCCCTCGACCCACGCGCCGCCCCTTATGACCCCACCGCGACACCCACGGCCCCGCCAGAACGAGCCGCCCGAACCGAGCAGCCCGAACCGAGCCGCCCAGCCCGAACCGAGCCGCCCGAACCGAGCCGCCCAGCCCGAACCGAGCCGCGCCGCCCGAACCCAGCCGCGCCGCCCTACCCGAGCCGAGCCGCCCTACCTGAACCGAGCCGCGCCGCCCGTACTGGATCGAGCCGCCCTACCTGAGTCGCACTGCCTACTGTTTGGAGGGTGCACCTACTACTACTACTTCTACTCTACTGCTACTCCTACGACGGCTATGGCCAGCCCTCCTGTGCTAGCTTTCGATGCTGAGGGCCGCCCAGTGAACTTCGAAACCTGGCTAGATGACCTCCACCTCTTCCTACAGCTCACAGCAAAGGAGGACATCTCACTATACGATCACGCCCTAGGACATGCTACTGCTCCTGCTGCTACTGCTGACAGCACTGCCCGCTCACAGTGGCAGACTCGTGATGCCCACGCTCGCTTCGCTATTCGCAACTCCCTGCCGATAGATGAGCGCGAGCACTTTGGCCAGCACAAGAATGCACAGGCAATGTACACCGCTGTCGTTGCCCGCTACTCCTCACCTGCCTCTGCCGCACTAGGCCGCCTCTCACTCCCCTACCTGTTTCCCGACCTGGCCTCTTTCCACATAGTCGCTGACCTCATCACGCACCTCCGTACTAGTGAGGCCCGCTTCCGTGCTGCCATGCCCGATGAGTTTCTTGCCAAGAACCCCCCCCCGCTCTGGCTCACTCTCTACCACCTAGTCACCCGCCTCCCTGACTCTCTACGTGCTGTTAGGGATCACTTCCTAGCTCGCTGCCCCACTGAGCTCACCATTGCCCTCCTCGAGAAGGAACTGCTTGCAGCTAAGGCTAGCATAGTCGCTGTAGGTGCCTCTCGTGGCGACCCCCGCACCCCTTTCTTTGAGGGGTGTTCCCCTTCCCCCCTTCTTCCCTCTGTAGCCTCTGCTTCTGCTGTCGACCTCCTTGGTTCCGAGAAGGTCGGCGCTGCGTCTGCTTCGAGCGGGCGCCGCAACAGCAAGGGCAAAGGGGGCAAGGGAGGCGGAGGTGACGGCGGGGGAGGCGGTGGTGGGGGTGGTGGCGGCGGTGGGGGTGGTGGTGGGGCTTGGGGGGCTAGTGGCAGCGGTGGGGGTGGTGGCGGCAGCGGCGGGGGAGGTGCCAGGGGCGGGGGCGGGGGCGGGGGCGGTGGTGGGGGCGGCGGGGGACGCGGCGGCAGCAGGGGAGGGGGTGGTCGAGGAGGTGGCGGCGGCGGTGGCGGTCGTGGAGGCACTGGCGCTGTCCAGAGCCTGCAGCACACTCTGTCGCCCCAGGAGCTCCGTGAGTGGTACGCTCAGCACGGGGGGGGGGGGGGGGGGGGGGGGTGGCCTTAGCTGCACGTACGTCATCCGCACTGGTGACCGCACTGGTCAGAAGTGTGGGAGGACGCACCCCACGCAGCGCTACTTCTCACGCCTCGACGACGCTTGGCGTACTCAGTTCCCTGATGCCACTGAGCTGCCCCGCTGGGCTGATCTGATGAAGCAAAACATTGATATCTTTGCTCTAGACTTTGATGCTATTCTCTCTACCATGTATGTGATGTCTATTAGTGGAGAGGGTGCCCAGTACCTGCGTGTTCAGCCCGACCCGGGCATTCAAACCGGTGAGGCTACCGCTCTATGTGCTAGAGTGTCTGCTACCCCAAGTGCTGGTGAGGCTGCTGCTCTAGGTGCTGGTGCGTCTGAGCCCCCTGGTACTGAGTCGACTGCGGCACTGCACACCTTTACACTAGACTCAGGTGCCTCCCGCTGTTTCTTTTGTGACCGCACGGCTCTTGAGCAGCTTGCCAGGCCCGTTGCAGTCTCTCTCGCTGACCCCTCTGGGGGTCCAGTCCTTGCGACCTCCTCCACTGTCCTCCCCAGTCCGGCCGTCCCGTCGGGCACATTGTCCGCTCTCTACCTCCCCTCGTTCTCTACGAACTTGGTGGCGGGTAGTGCGCTCCAGGACAAGGGTGTCCACCAGTTCACCCCTGCCTACGAGCGCGTGACA